TGTGCTCCGTGGGCAGCAGCAGCCAGGAGGGGGCTGGCTTGTACATCAGACTGCAGCATGCCCTGATAGTCTGTACCCTGTAATTAAGCAGACAGATGGGAAGGTTGTTGCTGCCCTTCCAAGAGTGCAAAAGAGCCCAGGCAGTGAAGCAGAATGAAGATATTAGAAGGGAGCAGCAGTTCTGCTCTGCTCAGGGTTATTGCATTGATGTGTTCAGGCAGAGTCAGGCTCTTCCCTTGGGAATCCTGGGCTGGGCAGGACCTGCTGCAAGGGAGCAAAGAACTTAGTGATGATAGTCAGTGTCCATACCTGAGAATTAGTCTGATGCAAAGGCTTAAGGAAAGCTTTGATTCCAGGCCTGGCCCAGGTGCTTGAAAATAATGATAATAATGATACAATTCTGTGCATATATTGTTTTGTGTAGCTGGTGAGGCTTTGTCCTGCTGGCAGGTGGCTGGATTCCTCCCTTTGGAGAGGAAGCTGTGGTGACACACACTGCACTCCCACATTTGTGTGAGCAGAGCCTCCTTGTGTGTGTTAAGGTGGGGCTGTGTGAATTCTTGAGAATAGTTTCCTCTAGGTCTTCTGGGGTAGTTGGCTAGCTCTGTCCAAAACACACCTGTGCAAAGGCACCTGAATGCTTGGGACATGCTTGAACTACCAGGAAAGCTGCCTCCCAGCTGCCTCAGACTGCTCTGTGGTGCTGAGGGGCCAGGAAGGGCATGGATGCTCTCTGCAGTGGGTGGGGGGTCTTACCAGACTCCTTTTGCCTCCAGGTGGCAGATGCTATGAAGCAGATGCAAGAAAAGAAGAATGTTGGAAAAGTCATCCTGGTTCCTGAAGCACCCAAGGAAGAATCTAAAAAAGCAGAGAACTAAGGAGAAGAGATGAATGCAGATTATGAATTCATGGTTTAACTCCCTGATCTCTTTGGGACCTGGAAATGGACAGATCAGTATCTTCCATCTTTCACCAGTACAAGAACATCATGGTTATCATTCAGACGAGGTTTGCATGCTCTTGTTGTGACTGACCCTTTGCCAGATATGCCTCCTGCTCTCTCTTTTGAAGCCTGTTTATTTCATACTGCTTTCTAACCACTTGCTTCTCCACTGAATTTCCAGACTAACCTTCTTTTTCTCTGGCAGTGAGGCTGAAGCTTCCAAGCAGTTGGTGACTGACAACTGCACAGCCTGTCACTGTAAAGTCAAGGCACAATGTACTGTAACAACTGCCAAGTGTCTCTGCAGAAACTGAGCCCTGCTGAAGCATTTGCACTGTCAGCTTTGGGAAGCCTGTTCAGCAGAGGATTGGCCAAATGTAGGATGTTTCCTCCACAGCCAAAGGAAAACCACAGCTGGCCTAGTTTAATTCAAGCATGGGTTTCTCTTCTGTTCACACTAACCTGGCTCTATTCCTTCTGCTTTTTGTAGGCCACTAACACAGCCAGATAGTAACAGCTCATGTTGTTTTTCCCTTGACCATCCTGGCAATTTGGAGTCTATGGCAGATCATACTCCATTTGCAGTCACTTCTCTGTGCACTCTGTAAATACCCTGACAGGCTGGGCTGGGCTGTGTCTGACTACAGAAGAAAAGTTTCAATTAGATAACCTGATCCTGTCCATTTTCTATTTCCAAATTGTATAGAGAGATCTGAGCAGTGTCTGATTCTTAGAGACCATAAGGACTCAACTGTGTCTCAAACGACTGGAACAATTGATGTTGGCTCTGTTCTTTATTATGTTGGGCTCCAAGTTGGTGTTGTTAGGGCTTCACCCTTGTCTTTGTATTTCCAAGAGCTGCAGTATTGAATTGGACTTCGCTGAGATGGAAACAAAATAATCCCCTATTAATGCTTTGTGCAGTGCCCTGTGCACTGAGGAGGTGTTGCAGTTTGGGAAGCAACTTTCCAGAGCCACTCCTGTGGGCTGGCTGCCCAGCAGCCTGGGCTGGCTCTCCCTGTGGCACTCTGGTTGGTAAAGCTGTTGCCAGGGTAGCAGTTAGATGACAAACAGCCCAGCTGTGTGTCAAGCCTCTTCACCTGCACATTCTGAGCAGTTTTCCATTTCTAGCTCATTTGCTGCAGCAAGGCTTGACTCTTCTCCCCCTGAATCTGTGTCTTGGGGCTCCAGCACTGAGGGTTTAGGAGCTGCTCCTCCCTATACCAGAACTGTTTCCTCTTCTACTTTTCTTTCCTTGTGTGCATTTGGGAACAGAGCTGTGTAGAGACCCAAGCCCAGCTCTGTGAGCAACTTGAGTCCTGGTGATGCTGTCCTAGACCCAGCTTGCAGCTCTGGGCAACTCTGGTGCTTACCTGGCATGGATTGTGGATGTGGTGGGCTTTTGGGGCTTTCATTTTGGATTTGAAATGGTAAACCCAAGGGCTCTAAGAAGAGCTGCCCATCATGGAAGAACTTGTGCTCCAGAAGCAGAACCTTGAGACTAGAATCCTGCTTAACTAGCCCCAGGGAGGGCCCAGGGCCCAAGGAGGGCAGGTACCTGCTGGGCACAGGGCTGGGCACGCAGCCCCACCACCACCCAAGAGAGCCCAGGGCACACAGGGCTGGGGCTCCTCTCTGAATTCTCCCTCAGCTCCTCCGGTGGGACTCCTGACTGCCAGTGCAGCCTGGGGTTCAGGTGCTTGGGCTCAGTCCAGAGTTCTTTAGAAATGCACAGGCACAGCTTCCAGGGGTCGTGCCCTGGCTGACTTTAAATATTGCAACAATCCTGTTCCCTACAACATCAGAGGAGTGCTGGAGTCCTCTCACAGATCCTTGTCAGTTCATCTCTTGAACTTCATAAACACAGGCTGATGGAACTCTCAAGCACAACTTTTTACCTTTCTGAATCCAAAATCTTGCTGCTTCTTTCAACCTGCCCTGTTGTGCTAATTCAGATTGAATCCAACAGTGTCTAATGCTGCTTTACCAGGTGTGAAAACAGAAGGACTGTCTAAATTGCTGCAATGGAAAGTCTGGACCTGTTCCTCTGAGAAACTGGACTTCACCTTGATGCCAGGGCAGCATGCTCAAAGGGCACACAACCCTGCACATCTGATTGTAAAAGGGAAAGCTGTTAAGGTGTGTTTCACAGTAACATCCTCTCTCTCCCTGCTTTATCCTGAGCCAATCTCGTGCTCAGTGCCTTACGTGGATGGCCTTGGGTCAGGCAGTGTGGCAGGGCTCTCACAGCTCCCATCAGAGCCCTCTGCCTCCTGTGTGCCACAGGAAACAGCATCTCAGTGCCTTCTGCTACAGGACTAGGAAGTCACTGGGGCCTTTTCCATTCTGGCCTTTCAAAGTATTGCCAAAACACTGTTTTGACTCTTATTAGCTCTGTTTTGTGAACACTGGTGATGTTGTTGGACTTTTCACGAGTTAGCTGTTCTCCCCCCAGGTGTTCCAGCCTTTCTGGAGCTGACCTGGTGGTTCTGTTCCCCCCAGTCCATAAGACCTGTTGTAAAGCCCTTGTCTTTCCCAGGGCAGCTGTTTGGCTCCAGGGCGAGGCTTTATCAGCTGCTCCAGCCTTGGCTCTTTAGAAACAATCCTAGCTCCTGGCTCTTTTTGGGCTCACATGTCTTCTACGTAGAAATTCCTGAAGCCCTTATCAAGGCAGGAACGCCGCCGAGCAGTTTCTGCCTCTTCGAGGTCAGCACTGACTGTTTTGTGTCTCTTGGTAGCAACAGTGTTTTCTACAGGAAAACCAAGATTAAATGTAACCTTGCAATCATCTGCCCCTGCTCAAAGTTCTGCTCTAGGTGGGTGTGGTTGGTTGTGTTTTGGTTTTTTACTTTTCTTTCTCATGGGCCAGTAAGTATAGAACCTATGTAAAACAACTTCAAGTGTCTTAATGCAGTTAACCAGCCAGTTTGTATACTAAGGACCAAAGCAAAAAAACCAAAACGAAACCCTAGGATAAAAATCATTCCATTCAATGTTGCTTGTTTAGGGCAAAGTTGTGCTACTGAGGAACTGGGAGATTCCTGTACTTAAATCACGTGTGCCATTCCAGAAGTGCAATTTAATGTTTATTTTACTGATTGTCTTGACTCAAAGGTTGTGCCATGAGGAGTCCAAGTGGAAGTGTAAGGAGTTGATGAGTGGAGGAGGCACCCACGGCCCTGCCTGCTGCAGGGGGCTCGGTGCCAGTGCCTCTCCTGTCAGTGCTGTAGTGGCCTCCCAGCCTGGTGCTGCTGGTCTTGGACAAAATGCAACTCCTTTGCTATCACCAGGCAGCAGTTGCCACATTTTTGACTCTCTGAAGCTCACTTGTGTTGCAAGCTGACTGCAGGAGGGGAAGGGAGCAGAGGTGGCCTCTGCTTGCACAGAGGAGTGTGGCCCCTGCCACGTGCTCTGGGAAGGAGTTCAGCTCTAGGTTTTGTTTCAGACACCTGTATTAAACTAGAATTGATTGGCCAGGGAGAAGGAAGAAGCACTGTGTGTGTGTGAGGCTTCAGCTGGTGCAGGATCCTGGCCTGCTGACAGCTGCTATCATAGGTGTTAAACCACTCGGGTTGCCTGAAGTCTCTGGTGTGCTGAGCTCTTGTGAGGCAAAGTGTTATTGGCAAGTAGTACATGAGCATGATGTGAAATGTGTTAGACTCTGAGTGAGCCTCTTGCAGCATATGGTCTGGTCTGTACTGTCTGAACTGTGTTGATTTGCAGATTTGTGATACAAGTGATGCTCATCCTACAGACACATAGCAAATCTTTTGTTTAAAAAATATATTTCGCTTTGTGCGTGTAACCAAGTTGGACAGAAGACAACTGTGCCACTGCTGTTTACATGACTACAATGTGTACTGCTCCTCTGTCAAATGTTACCATATGCCTTATGTGTTTCAAATGTTAATTAAAAGCATAACAAAACCTTCCACAGTATGCTGCTCAGGTTTCTGTTGTTGTGAACGCTGTGCCCACAGCTCAGGGCAGGTTCAGCTGACAAAGGAGGAGATGCCTCTGCTCTCAGTGACAGCTGTTCATTGTTGGCTTGAGTGTTGTTCCTGACACTAATCCTGGAGGGCAGCCATGGTGATTTTTTGTTTGTGAAGCCTTTACCTGGGCTCTGCACTTCATATCTGGGTGTCTCAGTAGCCAGGTGGGACTGAAGTGGGTGCCTGAGCTGAGGGTAAGACAAGGCATGAACAGCCACTACCAAACATGAGAATAAATCCTATTTATTTGTCAGCATAGAGACTGTCCCAGGCAGGCAGCTGCTGTGGCTGCTGAAAGCTGTTCATGTTCTCCTCAAGAGAGCACCAGGTCACCTGCTGGCCTCAGAGCAGGGGCTGGGGAGGGGCTGGAGCATGGGGCTGGGGGCCTGAGAGCTGACACTAAGGACAGCTCATCTCCAACCCCAGCTCTGGCAGCAGCTGAGCTGGAACCTCTCTGTTGTGGCAGGAGGTGGAAGAGACTTCCAGAAGCTGGGGCTGGATGAGGTGCAGACTCTTGCCCAGGTTTGTGTCTGCTACTGAAAGCCAAACAGGGCTCAGGCTGCAATCAGCTCTGTGATTTCAGGACATGCATCCAAGAGGAGCTGGAGTTTCAGTGAAGTTTCAGCTCCATGCTGGGGCCTCCATGGGGCAGGGACAGAGGTGCTGCTCTTTGCTAATGTGCAATGGTCTGGCTACATGTGGGGAAAGCAGAAGCTCCTTCAATAAACACCTGCTTTTTCCTGAGCTGTCTCTGTTAAGCTGCAGTTTTCTCAGCAAGAAGGGAAGGTGAAGGGAAGCCACAGGCTGTGGCTGTGGGAGAATCACATGAGGCCCAGTTTATTGAGAACTGTGCCAACCTCATGGAGGTACTGAGCATCTGGGTAGCCATTCCTGTGGGGCAGAGAAGAAGCACTGTAAATCCTGCTGAAGTGCCAAAACCACAGTGGGAAGCAGCCCTTTATTTTTGCCCCACCCTTTCAGAGGGGCTGAGAGGGGAAGTCCTGCTCCTGGGATGTCCTGCTGCCTGCAGGCACAGCTTGTACCCAGCACAGGCATGGGAAAAGCTGTAAGTGAACAGGGCCCACAATTCTTGTCCATGGGGAATTACAGGTTTCCACACCACTTATGGATGTGGGATGGGCAATGGCTTTTGCTCCAGCTGGAGAGTGCCAGGTCTGCCATGCCATAGCTGCCCTGCAAGCTGAAGCAAAGGGAAGCACCAACTCTGCCACTGTGGGAGGGTGGAAGAGCCATCCCTGCCAGAATTTGTTGAGCTGAAGCCCATGGTTCTCCTCCTCCCATTGCTAAAAAAAACCACAACCATACCCAGAAGCTTAGGATGAGCTGGGCCATACCTGGCTTTGCCTCCCTCCCAGGAGGTTTTGTGGGGGATAGGGCCCCATGTTACTCTTTCCTCTCCATTGCAGGACTTGATCTGGAATGTCAGTCCACATTCAAATGCTTTCTTCAGCAGCCTTGCTATCTTCAGCCCTTCCTTGTTATCAGGCAGGAAGGCACAAAAATTCCCCCCTTTGTAAGGGTGTCCTGGGCGAGGGTCCCCAGCCTTAGAACAGGAATAAGACATTTCAAACAACAGCTGGAGTGTTTTGCCTCTGAAGGGATTTCTAAGGTTTGCCTAGCTTGAAAACCACACTCATGACCATGAACCCCATGGGCTGATAGTCACTGTTGATAAAACCAGAGGTCACATGCTCTTGAGAAGCAGCAAGCTGCTCCAAAACCTGCTGTGGAGCTTTTTGCCTTTCATAGGTTAATATCTCTGCTGCTTTGCATGTGGGACAGGGAGCTGTGGCTGCTCTTTCCCCCACCCAACCACCCTGACAGCCCCCCCAGTGTGGGCTGCAGTGGGATGGGGAAGCTCTGTGGTGGTACCTACCTTCTGCACGCCATCAGGCATGCTGTAAGCAAGCTGAAGTGTTGTGTCCCCATAGTATCCAGGCAGGCTCTGAGACAAGGAGGAGATCTTCAGTGTCCCTGGGATACTGTAGCTTGGGACAGCTGAGAAGGATTCACAGCCAGCTGGCTGCATACTGTCTACTGCAAAACATGTCCTGCACAAGGTGTGACCACAGGAGCCCTGGCAGGTCACACCTGAGCCCTTGCAAGTATAACACTGGTCCAGAGGGATGGTGCTGCTTTCCTGTCCAAGGCTGGGGTCTCTTCTCTGCTGTGATGGGAGGTCAGGCTCCTCTTGCTCATTGCTCCTGCCCCCTGGGAGCTGGGCCCTTCCCCAGTCTGTGGGCTCTGCTGTAGGTGCCTCTTGGGCCACAGCTGGTGGTGGCTCAGCAGCCATGGCCCTGGGTGGCCAGGTGTGCAGAGAGTGAGGAGCTTCATGAGCTACAGGGACTGGACAGTGCTGCTGTCCCATTGCTTCATTGTGGCCTCCTCTGCTCTTGTCTCTTGTAAACTGGAATCTGTCTGGCAAGACTTGTTTTAGCTGGGTGATGTCAGGTTCCCCCAGAGCCAGTTTTGTCTTCATCTGTTCCTGGAACTCCCTCAGGCTAGGAGGGCTTGGCTTATCCCCTGTACTAATGTTCAGAAGGCTGCTTCCTCTTCTTCCAGACCCAGAATCAATATAGCCCGTGGCCTCTTCCTGCCCCCAAGCCTGCTGGTACCTCCAAGGACTGGGGGACCTTTCCTTAGTCTCTGGCAACCAGGAAGCCCTGAGCACATCTGTAGAGTTTATTTTATCGATGATGTTCAGGTGCTGTAGGGCATTCAGGCTGCCAGGAAGGGCTACATCCAGCACTGAGTCCTGGCTTCTGCTTGGCTGGATGACACTTGATCTCTCTGGTCCAGGAGACATGGATGGAGACTTCATGGCACAGAGCCTCCTGGAAGAAAACATGTGGAAGGCCTCAGTCACTCCTGGCAGCATCTCCTTGGGGCAGGCAAGATAGAGCTTGTACTTGTCTTTGCTGAGTCCAACCTGGAAGGATTTTCCTCGCAAGAGGCTGCACAGTTCACTCAGGTCACTGTCATCTGGACCACTGACAGCAAGCTCTGAGTAGCTCACACTCTGACACACCAAGTCAGGGCACTTCTGCACAAGATCTTCCACCTTCCATTTGGCCTGGAGCAGCCTTTTCCTGTCTTCTGCCTGCAGCACCAGCACTGTGCAGTCCCCAGCGTGGCGCTCCAAGATGTGCACCCCTCCAGCCCTGCACAGCTCATCAATAGTGGCATGGCAGACATCTTTCAGGTAAAACCACTGCAGAGTGTCCAGGCTTATCTCCTCACTCACCATGCTGATCTCTCCACAGTTACTGCTTTCCTTTAACCTTGTCAGGGAGAAGCTGTTGGAGCGTCGCAGCACAGGCCTGGATGCAGAGGGTTTGCAGCCTGAAGCAAAAGAGGTCCATGTCACATCACAGTTGCTGGAGGGGCGACAGTAGCCAATTGGACCTGAGCCTTTAGAGACCTCAGGATGCTGAGAAGTGCTGTTTTCTTTGCCTGTAAAGGGCAACAGCATCTTTTCTCCTCTGAGTCTGGCACCTCCTTCCACATGGCCCCTTTCTGTGGGGTCATTCTGCTGAGGCTCTGCTGCTGACCCCACAGCTTTATTTGTCATAGGGGTGGGAGGCTGATACTGCTGGGTCAGTGCCCTTGGGTCACTCTGACCAGGAGCATCTATCTCTGATGAATGTTTCCCAGAAAGCTGTTCCTGTCCCATTATTGGAGAGTCCTGATTCACCAAGAAGCCCTGGGCAGCCTGAGATTTGTCAGCTTTTGGGGTGCTGAAGTTGGCAGCTAGCTTGTGCTCACCTTTCAGCTCTGACTTGCTTGGGCTAAGTCTTGTGGTTGAAGTATTCACAGGAGATTTGGCCAGGTGTAATGCAGCCTCTGTGGTGCCAGAGGGCTGGGAACTGCTCAGCATGTCAACCGTGTGTGCAGCACCTCTCCCGGTGACCGAATCCTCGAGGAACTGCTTGGCCTTAGACACATCAACAAGGTTTCCAACAAGATAAAGCTGCTTCACATCCTCATGGCAGAGCAGCTGGGGATACAGCTCCTTCAGCTCACGTGTCACGGCCCTGACTGCCTGGCTGTCCATTCCCAGCCCTTCCTTAGCAATCTTCTCCTTGTGCAGGCTCACCTCCAGCTGCTGGTAGAGCTGCTGCAGGGCCAGGCGGGCCTGTCTCAAGGCATCTGTGTCCCCAGACACACCTCCAGATGGCTGCAGGTACACTACAGCAATGCCATCAGCACTGACATCCACCACATCCACGTGATGTTGGTGCAGCACACCCTGGAACTCAGCAGCACAGAACCTCTGCATGTACAAGTAAATGTCCAAGTCCATTGTGAGGGAAAAGTCCTCCAGCTTCCCCAAAAGTCCCGCAGCTTCCTCACCCACTGGGCTCTGAGGTGATGGGACTTTAGCTGCCATTTCTTGCACCTGGTCCAAATCTGGCTGCTTTGCTGTCTCCTGTGCTGATTCAGTGGAGTCAGGCACTTGCTGGTGATCAGGCGTTCCCATCTCTTTGGCCCCACAGCTGGAAGCTGGTGTGACCATCTGGCCAGTGGCTTCTCTCTTGAGGTTCAGTCTGCCCAGCAGCTCTCTGCTGAAGGTCTGCAGCTCAGTGAACGGCCCCTGGACTATGCACTGCATATTCTTTGAGTCAAAGCTGAAGTGTATATTTTTGTACTCTTTGTGCAAGTCCTTCAGGAGGGTTTTGCCCGTGGGCAGCTTGCTGTAGTCAATTGTCATGCTCATGTGTATGAAGATCTGCAAGTAGACAGCAAGGGAGTGAGAGAGCAAGGACCAAAACCAACCCCTTTCAAAGGCACAGAAGACAAGTGGCCCCTGCATTACTGTGACACACTCTTCCACCTCTCTCCCTCAGCATCCTACTTTCAAGAGAGATGGACCCTGACACAGACAGCACCAAAAGACCCAGACTAAGCAACTCCTTGACCTTGCACACTTGTCAAAAGCCTTCTGCAAACAAGGAATCAGAGGGGGAAATTGCACAGATAGGGTCATATTTCTACACACTGGGAGCTCTTCAAAAAGCCCAAACCGAAGAAATCCACTATTGCTTCTGCATCTAAAATGCAGTTGCTCTCTTGCCTTTGCAGAGCTTCAGCTCCAGATCTTCAAGCACTTTTGGTACCACAGGCTTGCAAAAAGGTCTGCAAGGCCAGGCTAATGCCCATGCCCTTGGTTTTGGGGCTCAGACATGAAAACAGAAGACATGGCTACAGCCACGGTCTCAAGACTGGAGGAAGAGGTAAGAACTCTGCAGTGCTCCATAGACACCAGCATGTCTGTATGCTAAGCTTTCCTGAGAATGAAAGAGGAACAATAAATTGTAAGTCCAGCTGATGACACAGCAGAGGCATTAACAGGATCCCCTGTGTGGCTCCAGATGGACTGGGGAAAAGTGTCTGTTCTCTTCCAGCCTGACTACCCTTCATTTGACAGGCACAAATGCCAGATGACTGAGAGACAGCCTGCCTGCCTGTCCCTGTGCTATTAGCACAGGAAAAAAAAAATCTTAATTTGAATAAGAATGAGAATGGATTTAAGTGTAATTAAGATGAAAGGAGAGAGTGAGGTCTCCCTTCTCAAGCTGCTTGCCAGGCACAGAGTCTGTGTGGGAGCAGCTGGGGCTGCCAATCCCCTCAGTACCTCATTGGGGCTCAGCTCTGCAGCGTGGGGCGTCACCTCCAGCGGGTACTGTGTCTTTCCAATCGCCAGCACATGGTTTTTCACCTTCAAGATCCTCTGGGCCACTGGTGGGAAAAGCCACCCAGACCTGCGTCAGCCCAGCCAAGGGACAGCAGTGGGGTGGGGGAGAGGGGATGGTGGGGTTGGGGACAGCAGGACAGGGGAGGGTGGGCAAGGCAATGTCAGGGCTGGGGATGGTGGTACAGGGGGTAGCAGGACAGGGACAAGTGAGGCTTGGGGTTGGTGGGACAGGGCAGAGGGGGCTGGGGATGGTGGGACAGGGAAGAAGGGGGCTGGGGAAGGTGGGACAGGGCAGAGGGGGGCTGGGGAAGGTGGGACAGGGCAGAGGGGGGCTGGGGATGGTCGGACAGGGCAGGCCCCCGAGGGTCCCGCGGGCGTTACCTTCCGGCGCCTCGAAGGTGATGAGGGCGCAGGGCAGGGAGCCGGGCAGCACCCGGACGTTGGCAATGTCGCCGCCGCCGTTGCGGGAGCGCAGGAAGTGAATGGTCAGCTTGTCAGCCGCCCTGTCGGGAGGCAGCTCGGCCGGGAAGCCCTGCACCCGCACCGTGCGGCCCGCCATGCCCGCGGGGGCGGCTGCCCGAGCCCCGCCACACCGGCAGGGCCTCCCGGGAGCCCCGGCGACGGCTGCCGCGCTTCACCACACCGGGCCCTCGCCGCCCGGTCCCGCCGCTCCGGCCTCCGCCCCGGCCCCGCCGCCGCGGGCAAACGAAAGCGAAAGCGGAGCCGCCCCGCCCTGGGCCCGCGGGAGAGCACGGCCCGGCCCCTCAGAGAGCGGCGGGGAAGGGCCCAGCCTCGCCCCGGTCCCTCAGAGCGCTGCCTAGAAGGGCCCAGCCTGCCCCCAGCCCGGCTCGGCCCCAACACAACAGACACGGTGGCTGCTCCCAACAGACACTTTAATTCCCCTCGTGCCCGCGGGTCAACGGATGCACGGAGCGCCTCAGCTGACGGGGCTGGCCAGGACTAGCCCGTAGCTAGGCAGGACTAGCCCGTGTCCTCCACGAACACGGCCACCCCTGTCCGCCCCGCTGGGACGTAGGCGAGGGCGTCCACCTCCCCGCCGCCGCGGCTGGCCTTCTGGAAGTGGATCTCCAGGGCGTCTCTCATGGACTCCACACTCAGCACATCGGGGATGCCCAGGAGCAGGACGGTCCTGGGGCAGCGGGAGGGCTGGAGCTGGGCAGAGCAGGGGGTGAGCAGCACAGCAGCGCTGGGAGAGGGGCTTCAGGAGCCCCCCAACCTGTGCTGCCTCTACCTAGGCTGGTAGGTGCTGCTTGCACAGGGTTCCTGCCCTTACCTGCACGTTAGAGATGTCTCCACTCATGCATGGTGATATTTTGATTTTGTATTTCGCTTTCCCAATGGGCACCTGGGTATGTCCTCTTTCAACTAGCGGCTCTGCCACTGCATATGGAGAGAAAAGCCCTGAGCTGCCCAGGTAAGCCCCAGGAGAGGTTCTGTCCCTGGCATAGGCACCAAGGCTGACACTGCCCAGCTCACCCACACCAGCACAGTTTTGGGGGAGGCAGGACAGCCTGGGGCTCACTGTATCTTCGCTGTTCCCCAAACACAGCTTCATCTGCTCTCAGGAGATTTGCCCCCAGAGCAGGCTGGGCTGTTCCACCCTTGCCAGCCACCCAGGCTCAGCACACCTCACACACCTCCATCCTGTGTGAAGGTCAGCACCACCTGGTGAGAGTCCTCCAGGAACTCCCTGCTCTCCACCTCGCTGCCCCCATTCTTTGTCTTGCTGAAGAAGAGCTCCAGCTTGTCCAGCAGTGCCTCCTTGGAGATGTCCAGGCTGGGCAAGTCAGACACAAGGATGCTCCTGCTGTTCTGAGACAGCCTGATCTGTGGGTGGCACCAGCCAGTCAGTGCCAGGGCAGGACTGGCCCCAGAGCTCAGGGGAGCAGTGCTGTGTGTGGCTGGTAGCAGAGCCCTGGTCGAGGCAGGCTCAGACAGGGGAAGCAGCGTGCCCAGGACACCCCCATGGCATGGGGACCCAGGGGCCCTACCTCCAGGGCAGATGGCAGCAGGATGTCCATTGGCACTGCCCGCACTCGCACTCTGCACTGGTCGAGCTCCTCCAGCTCCCCACAGCTCAGCTCCACCGTGTGCTCCCTCATCTCTATGATCCTCTGGGCCACTGCAGGCAGGGAGAGCCCCCGGCACAGGGGAGTGACTGCCCACTCCCAGAGCTTTCCAGGACAGGACACGGCACAGCAAAGGTGTTGGGGAGGGGGCACAGCCCCACACAAGGCAGGGAGAGGGGCAGTGCCAAACTCTGGCACAGGGAGGGGACACAGGGCAGGCCCAAAAATGATCGAGGACACCTGGCCTGAAGAGCAGTGCTCTTCTCACACTTACCCTCTGCCTCCTCAAAGGTGATGAGAGCTGAGCCCCCTGGCAGAGGGCAGTGGATCAGTGGGGTGAGCATCAGCTTGTTCATGTCCTCCTTGTTTGCTGTGAGTCCCTTAAAGATCATTTTCTTTTCTGGCAAGGCAGACAGTATCTAGGTACAAGTACAGACAGCACCTGGAGGAGACTGGACCCCGCACAGGGCATGTCCCTGCCAATCCATTGACTAGAAATAAACTCATAGCTCAAATAAACTGCTGGAGAACCTCAGCAGAGTTTCTCCCAGTGTCTGGCTGTGCCTGGAATCCCAAAGCCATGACCAGAGCTCCTGACCCTGGCAGAGGAGCTGTTCCAGTCATCACACAGTGCCCAGCTGCATTCACCTGCAGCTTCTCCAGCCAGACTTGTGCCTTTGCCAGCAGACCCACAAGTGCCCACACACACTCTGTTACCATCACAGGATCATTCCAGAGGACCTTCTTCTTCAACTCTTCCAGTTTATTTTTCAGAGCATGCTTCTCCTGCCTCAGTCTGTTGTTCTCTTCCTTTATTGCAGAAATCTGGAAGGAAAGAAGGAAAGAAAGAGTGGGAAGTAGGGAACACCAGGACACAAGGGGCTGCAGTACACTTCTGTTTTGAGCACAGAGCTCCAGCCCATTCTCCTGCTCTTGACTGCCTGCAGCTCTGCCCTGGTTCCTCTCCTTTGAGGACAGCCCTGCCATTGCTGCAGCACTGCCTCACTTCTTGGCACAGGCCTTGTATTTCCCATAAAACCTCCACTAGATCCTAAGCAAGTGATCTCAGAGCAGTGACCTGCATCACGCAGCCCCTGCCACCCTTCCAAACCAAAGACACGTCCACTGAACACTGACCTGGTGGGCTCTTTCTTCATCTCCATTTAAAGGCAGTTGTTGCTCTAAAATTTTATGAAGTTCTCCTTCTTTCTTCAGCCCTTGTGTCCTTTGCTGTGCAGCTTCCTTGGCCATTTGTAGCTTCGCACAGTCTTTCTCCAGAACACTGTAAAGCTCCTGCGAGAAGCACCATCAGACAGCAAGACCCTGATGACACTGAGTCACCCCCACCAGCCACCCAGCCCCGGCACAGGCTGTGCCCGTGGGAATGAGCCTGGGCTCTAGAACAGGCTCTCCTCTCCATGGGATTGCTCCTCTCTGCCGCCTCTGACTCGTAGTCCTACAGAAGAGACTGGGGCCAGGGCCGAGCGGGCGGAACCCGGACAGCCAGGACGCGGCCGGCCAACCCCCTCGGGAGCAGCCGGACCCACCTTGCACCGCTCGATCTCCTGCCGGAGCTGCTCGGGGCTCTTCAGGCTGTCGTCCTGCAGCCGGACGGATTCCTAAAGACAGGAGAGGTCTCAGCCGCGCTGCGCCGCCCCCCGCCCGCCGGTCCCTGGCTCTTCCTCACCTCCTCCGAGCCCATCCCCGCGGCGCTGGCGGCAGCACGGCCCGGAGCCCCGGTCCCGCGGGGAGCCCTGCCTACCGGGACCGCTCTCCCTGCTCCGTCCGCGCTACCGGGGACCCCGTGTCTGCTCTCGTCTTTCGGTTTCGTTTTCGCAAACTCGCCCCGCCCCGGCCCGTCCGAGCGCAGCCCCGACCGCGGCCCGAGGGCGGTGGAAGGCCGGGCCCGCCCAGCCCTGCCCGGTACCTCACGATTCCCCATCCCCGCCCCGCCTGCCTCGCCTTCCCTGAGCACCCACCTGGCCTGCCAGGAATGCACCAGCTACTAAATATAGGAATAAACTCTTCCGAACGAACCAGATACTAAATACAAAAACAAACTCTTCCTGCCTCAGTCTTGGATTTACAAGCAGACCCAGCCCCCGCTCCCCCCGTGGCCAGCAGCCAGCACCGCCCCGTTTGGGAAGCTGAAATCCAACACCCACAGGCCAGCCAACACTCAGCCCTAACCTGGAATCACTCATTTGCCTTCCCTCTCTCACCCTTTTTTTTTTTCCAGAGGGATCACCCAAGTTTTGGGAATAAGAGATTTCCCCTATGGCAAGATCCAGTAGCCTGCAGCTGCAGAAGGAAGCGCAGCCCTGGCCACACCTGGAGCAGCGCCAGAGGTGACACCTGCACAAGGCTCCACAAACGTACTGATGCTCACCTGGACTGCAATGGCTCCCTCCCCAGCTCTTAGAGACACAGAGCAAGCATGACCACACCACAAAGGCCACTGTTTGTTTGTTAAATAACAAAAAATACATGGTTTTTAATAAACATTTATTGATGCAACCTTGTTACACCTTTAGAATCGCAGCTTCTGGAAGAACCACTTATTCTTGCCAGTTTTGTACCTGAAAGAGAACACACAGATTAAAGGATGGGTATTAGCAGGTAACAGCAACAAACCTGTAGCTGAGCTGTCCCAGACAGACAGAATGTAGCACCTAATTCACCCAGAGATAATTCACCTGTTCTCTATGGTCTGAGCTACAACTAAACCCACTTTAAATATTGAAACTGCAAGGGAAGCAAGAGCCAGGGTCCAAATTTCTCATGAAAGACACCAGCACTGTGGCAGTTTCCACCCCAACGGATACAAGCACAGGACACAGCCATCCTGCTGGACACCTCATGTGGCAGGGGGAGATGCCCTTGGAGAACAGCTCAGGGGCTGCCTGAGACACTGTGTCCCACTGAGGCCACACAGCTCCTTACTCTGAAGGAGCTTCTGAACAGAAAACCATAAAGAAAGAGCAGAAACCCAAGCACTCCCACACAAAGGTCAGCACAGCCCTGGCCCACCCAGCCCAGTGATAAGAGAGAGGATGAATGGGCAATGATCTTGTCAGATCATCCTGTGGCACCTGAAAGCCCCACAGGTGCTGGCATGATGGTGCACACACACACCCTGGTGAAAGGAACACACTCAACAAACATGCATGCAAAGAAGCTGGGGTGGAAGTGCCAACTTAGAAACACACAGACTGCAGCACAGTGACACCGACCCCTCACACCAGTAACAGCACAAACACCACTGAAGAGACGAACTCCCAACTCACCTCTCCTCAAATTTCACCTTGGCTTCACGTCTTGCTTTGCGTTTCAGAGCGGGATCCCTGAACACGTCCTTATTGACCACTGTTTTGTCCAGGGGAATATCCACAGAATACCTGGGAGAGAGCAGAACAGTTCACAAGGGGCATGGCACCTGGCACAGGGCTGAAAACCAAGCAGAGCCAGGATCAGTCAACACTCATTCTAGTGTCCAGACAAGGAGTTACAGCTCGTAAAGTCTCCTCAGCTCAGGAATCACCAAACCACCAAAGCAGTCTCAGTTCAGCCTATAAAGCGAACAACCATACCCTTTCTGAGGGATATGCAGCTCTGTCCCATGTGGTGCCTGGGAGCTGCTCTGAGAGCCCTGAGG